TATCCTGCGATATTTCTCCGCAGCTGTTCCCCGTTAGCGTCAATTCCAAGCCTTGGATATATCCACAACATGCATACGCCGGAATGCCCAGATCACATGCTATCGGCTGGACGCTCTAGTTTGTGCGAGAGCGCGGACGTGCCAAGCATGCAGTGGACTATTTTTCGTCGCGCAATTATTCATTCTTCCACCATGGTCACTGTGAAACGCTCCTGCGACCGCAATCGGGATTTCACAGCGCGCGATTCAACTCTCTTTATAGAACAGACGACTCCACTGGCACGATCTATATGTCCCCTTTCACAATGTCACAATGCATCGCGATATGGCCTCAATACGTAAATACCTCGAGTATGTCCGTTCTGGTCAGAAGGGAGTCATACTCTGGATCAACCGGAGGCCTTGTTACCATTTTTATACATCGCGACAACGATGTTACCCTTGACACAAGATGAAGTCTTCCGGCAAATCAAACAAAAGGCCAAGCGCAAGCAACACGAAAAGACGGCGTTCACCTCTGGCGTTGTCACTAAGCTCCTGAAAGACTTGTACAATCCCGACCTACAGGGTAGCCTATTCTTCTACTCTCAGGACGAAAGCGGTATTCCCAGACGTAAAGTAGCTACACACGCAGCGAACCGAAAACATTACTGCTCGGTCGCTCTGGAAACCGCGTTCAACGCAGAACATTGGCATGACCAGACTAAGCCAGCAGCCTTCCGAGGTAACTGCCCTCCCAGCACAATTGAGGGTCTTATTGGAGACGTTGACGAGACCGAGTCCTGCATCGAGCCATGCCCCAATTGCGAAGCACCAGAAGATGTCGCACATTGTATGTGTGGATACAATGCATGGGTCAAGTATCTGCATGGCTTCTGGCTCTCTCACTTACTGCTACAGGACGTCGGTTCGCGCGGTCACGGTGTTTTTGCGCGCAAGGTGATTCACGACTCTACCATTGTAGGAGAGTATACAGGCCAGATCATACCTTTCAAAGACGATGGAACTCCAGCTCATGGACGAGATGCTTATCGCGTCGGGATCTCGATCGGTAAACCAAACTTTGACCAAACTCAGACACACGCCACAGCTTCTATAGACGCTCTTCATACCGGAGGTGTGACTCGCTTCATCAACCACTCTTGCAATCCGAATACGGAATTTGTAGAGATGGTGTGTTCTTTGGAGCGCCGAGCCGTTTATGTAGTCACAAAGCGAAAAGTCGCTATCGGCGAAGAGCTGACACTAGACTACGGTCCGAAATGGTTCAAGGGTGACCAGTACTGTCTTTGTAATACGGCTGACTGTTGGAACCCACGCAAGATATCTGAGGATGCCGATGCATCCGAGGTAAAGGTCAGTGAAGATGACACCGCGGACAAAGGTGGGGACGAGGATGATCCGGAGGACGCCTCGACAGCGTCGGATGATAGCGCGAATTCCAGCGAAGCATCTGACATATATGCTCATAGTCCTGCTTTTTGAGTAGCTAACACGGATTCCTTGACTTGTATAGAAAGAATGAGATGACCGCGTTCAAACTACCAAGAGCCCTCCTTCCGTTGATCAAAAGTGGGTCAGCGATCTTCTCTTACTTGAAAGCCTCAACTGTAACTAACTACCCAAACTCAAGCACGGTCGCGCGTCCATACGAAGGCTACGTCAAAAGTGCGCGGAACTCGAGATCGGCTCAATTAGGCCGTCGCCCGGGCAGACAGCTATTCGGTCCTTCTCCACGTGGATCGTCATTCGGAGGTAACGGAACAATGACAACCCGAAAACTGGGGAGCCTGAACGCGATCGGAGGTACTGACATGAGATGATAAAATGACAACGGGCGTTCTCCGGTCGCCCAACTAGACTCCGAAGTCTCTCCATTCGCGAGATCATGTGCGCACGAGCTCTTCCGATAAAACCGCCCTTGTATTGCGCCGTTTGGGGCTGCCTAGTAACGGTTGCCCTTAGCGCAATGCGTGGGGTACAATAGCTTGCTATGGCAAGCTTTGTTCCTCATCTCCCACGATCTCAATCACAGCTGGATCAGATTGCGCTGCAAAATGGCTAGCCGGCAGCAGCCCTCTCTTTTGCGACTGCTCTTTTGGGTGACGGTCTTCGAGTCGGCACCATTCGTTTTGTCGACTTCCAATCATGGCAGATCTCAAGAACCGTTATGGTCCTTCGTAGGTAAGTTTTGACTGTACGAAGTGCATGTGAGGCATATACTGACTTCGTACAGACCCTTTGATCGGTACCGTGGGCCCAAAACCTGGTTCCGCCATCGCAGGCGGTAACTCCTTCCCCGGCGCAAGTTTACCATGGGCGATGGCAAAGCCAGGCATTGACACGAGCTACATTGGGCTTCCGAATGGCAGTGCAGTGGACGCCAATGCTGGATACACGCCATTGGGGAATGTAACAGCAGTGAGCATGACGCACGTCAGCGGATCTGGCGGAGCTCCAACTTGTCAGTCCTCTGCTTGCGCAAACGAGCCGCCTACGAGTATTAACAAAATCAAGATGGATTGATCTCGCAGATGCCGCTGTATGGCAATCTCGAGTCTATCAACCTTGCCGACAACATGACTTATGCCCAGAACCGCAGTCTGGTTTCAGAGTCCGCAACAGTGGGCCTCTTCACTACGACTCTACAGAACGGCGTCAAGATCGAGATCACTTCTGGTAATCATACCGGATTCATGCGATACACTTTCCCTCAACCAGAAGTCCCTTCAAACAACCTTTCCACTGTCAATGTAGATTCCACGATGACAGGAGCCCTGTCAGGCAACGAGCACGATGCGCATGTTCTAGTCGACCTCACACACGTGTTGCCAGCCTATTCTTCGATAGCCTACTCTCAAAGGTTCCTGCACGGGCAGCTACATGTCGGGTCTTCCTCGAACGGATTGCCATCGTACCATGGATCAGCGACCTACACGGGTGGCTGGCCGCAGCCTGAAAGCCATACGATCCATTTCTGCGGGAACTTTAGTGTGCCTGCAGGATCTGCGCTCACCCCAACATCGGACTATGTTCAGGGAGAACTTTCCAGTACTCCCGGCGCTGGTACGTTTAGCTGGCAGTACAACCCTTATTCGCCACCAAGCTTCAAGTCTCGTCCTGTGCCGCGCGCGTATGCTGACGTCCGGTCCTACGCTGGGAGCGGAATGGGCCTTGGCGCTCTTTTCAGCTGGTCGCCTAAGGAGCAGCGACTCAACGGCACCCTTACTCTTGAGGCCAAATTGGGCATTTCGTACATTAGTGCTGCACAGGCATGCTCTCACGTAGAAAATGAGCTTCCTGGTGCGAAATCCTTCGAGGATGTCGTTGACGAGGGAAGGCAAGTATGGGAAGAGAAAATCTTGAGCAAGATACAGATTGGAGACGATGGCCATTCGACAAGCAACAACAAAAGCTTGAAGAGGATGCTTTACTCTGGGCTGTATCAAACAGGTCTGATGCCGACTGACAAAACAGGCGAATGCCCTAATTGGGAATCGAACGATGCTAAGCCATATTACGACGACCACTATACGCTGTGGGATACGTATAGGACTCTGTTACCCTTGTATCACCTGGTCTTCACAAAGCCTTACTCGCGCATCCTTTCTGGGCTCATTTCCATCTTCTCCGAAGAAGGGTACCTGCCCGCTGGCCGTGCGGCAAATTGGAATGGTCGTGTTCAGGGCGGCACACACGCAGACATGGTCCTAGCCGACGGCTTCGTCAAGAGCGTGCACGCACTATCCGGCGAGACAGGTCGCGGTGAGCTCGACAGTGGCGTTGATTGGCAAGAGGCCTACAAGGCAGTGATGAAAGACGCGAACGTGTTGCCCGAGCGCAATGTTGATCCGGTCGCTTTCGACGGCGCCACCAAGGAAGGCAGAGGAGCACTGGACGATTATCTCGCCCTTCGCTTCATTACGCGCAACCACACCCGCAGTGTCTCTCGTGGCGTCGAGTACCCGCAGAACGACTTCGCGATCTACAGCATGGCAGCTGGACTCAAGAAGTCCCAGGAAGATGTCGATCAGATGCGAGAACGAGCAAGCTGGTGGCAGAACCAATGGAACCCCATGGCAAACACAACTCTCAACGGCACGGGTACATTCACTGGCTTCCCAGGCCCTAGAAACGCGGATGGGACGTGGAACACCACGGCGTATGATCCGCTCAGCTGTGGAACATGCGGTTGGGATGCAGACATCTACGAAGCCAAGGTTTGGGAGACTGCATTCAGTGTCGCACCACACGACATGGCCAAAGTCATAGATCTGATGGGCGGTGACGAGGCTTTCGTCCGTCGGCTAGACGCCTCTTTCATTCCAGGCTTCGGTACATCAGTCGGTGCAAACAACGATGCCGGCTCTGCTCTCTTCAACCCAGGAAACGAACCGTCCTTCGCAACGCCATTCCTCTACAACTACGTACCTGGCATGAACTGGATGACAGTCAATCGGACTCGAGCGATCGTCGACGACTTCTACAGCGACGACCGTAACGGATACCCCGGAAACATCGATGGTGGTGCTCTACCAAGTTGGCTGGTATTCAACCTCATGGGCATGTATCCGGTGTCTGCCCAGCCGCTTTACCTTCTTTCTGCTCCCCGGTTTTCTTGGCTCAAGGTCTCGCTTTTTAGTGGAACGGCAGTCGAGACGTCGTTGACCATCCGGGCCCAGAACCTGTCAAGCACAAGCTATTACCCGCAAAAGGCTACCTGGAATGGAAAGGATTTGGACCGGGCTTGGTTGAAGCATAGCGAGATTGCGGAAGGAGGCGAGTTGGTCTTCTATATGGGTGAAGAGCCTAAGAAGTGGGATGTTGGTGAGCGGCCATGGTCACTGTCGACATCGTCGCTTTAGGCATTGGCATATGTGTCGCAATCTAGAAGAAAACCTTTTGGGGTAAAAATATACATCGTATTGAAAGCCATCTAATTTTGAAAGTTCAACAGCGCGAGTGCAGCAAGAGGCGCCACGAATTCAGGTCCCTTCACCTTACCAACCGGCCTGCCCTCCATTGACTAGGAGAGTATCTACGACTTTGCCGTCCAACAAGGCTTCGACAGTGACCAGTCCAGTCGGGACATCTTGCAGGATAACCTGCCCCCGGCAAAGTGTACATACTCTCTTTTTCTTTGTCGCCTTGCTCACTACCAAATCCATTCCATTTATTTTCGGCGCCAGCGTGCCATGCTGTTCTAATGGCGCGGCAATGTGGACTGTTAAGTCTTCACACGACGTAAACTTGCTGCACAGGGCAATCGTCGCGTTAAGTGCTGTTCCGCTCAGGACTGTCAGGCTTGGAACGACGAATGCCTGGCTATCGATCCGAAAAGTCTGTTCCGGTACATTAGGTGCCTGGACAGAGAAGGACGTGGCATTTTGGATGGCTGGTCCGGAAAGCGAGAACGGGAAGTAAGTCGTAATTCCGTATTCACTACCACTGCGACCAAAAGCCGAGCTTCCTGTCTCGGCTTCTGATTCAAGTTCTGTCTCGTTGTCGCTCACGCGAAGAGTTAGTGATCGCGGGGTTGAGCTGCCTGCCGGTGTGAGGATTCTGATCTTTCCCGAGAGCATCAACTTTCCGTCATCCCTGAAGTCGTAGGTCACATTCAGAGGTTTGACCGGCATGACAGCAATTGGCTCGGAGAGCTGAACACCAGCAGGTACAGTGTTGATGGCCCGGCCCATGAGATCGGCACACGTAGCAAGAAAGCCTATTCCTTGCGCGAATAGAGCATGCATCGTCGCATTCTTATCGCTCTCGTAAAGCCTTTTATCGGAATTCATCGTGTCGTTATACGACATGACTAGCGGTCCTCCTTTGTTTCCCGTTCCGTTCAAGTATTCGCCGAGGACGTTTGGGTCGAAGACTCCGCGTGTAGTGTCGAAGTTACTACCGCCATTCGTGTTATTGGGCGTGACGAAGCTCTCGTCTACAGCCTCCGGGAAGCCACCCTGCACCGATGAGTGAGTATCGTCCAATCGAATAACAGCCAGAAACCTACGTGGTGTACGCTGCCCATAGTGTGACCGCAAGCCGTGAGCCCAATAGCATCCACCTTGTCGAACCCTGCGCGCTCGAAGAAAAGTAGTGTCTCTTCTAGATCCGTCTCTGGTGCCGGGACGCCCGTAGTCTTTCCTGCTTCGAACGCATCAACGCGGCCAGGTCGAAATGGCATCTGCGCGCCTCCGCAGAGATTATTCGACATAACTGTACCGAGTGCAACAAGATCAGCCACTACCGCTTCGTCAGTACCAGTTCCATCATCAATGACCCATCAAAAGCGATGCACTCACTAGAAATCCCCTCCCCGACAAACGGCCTCCAGAACGAAAAGCTATCATTAAACGCACTCCCCTTATTCTCTTCCCTCGCCGTCTCGAATCCAATACTAGCATCAATACCTCCCGTGCCCGCACTCACATTCGCGGTGATAAAGTCGTGGAACATGACGCGCATCCATTGGGCAGCGGTGGTGCGACCACTATTGAGCCCTGTAGTACCGGTCTGCGAAACATAATTCGTGCAAGGGGTGATTGCGGAGGAGAAATTGGAAGCATAAGCGCCCCAGTTGTCGACGAGGATGTGTTCGAGGAAGGAGATGGCGGGTGTGGGATAGTAGAACGCGGCGCGTGTGATTGGGACAGTGGAGAGGATTGAGAGGGAAAAGGTGATGGAGTCGAAGAGTAGCATTTTCGCTTGTAGGCAGGCACTGAAACTGTGACTAGGATACTAGTGGTATTCCAGAGTATAATGACGGTATTTCATCTTATATATCGTCTTCGTTCCATACTGTGTCGGCTGATTTTGGAATATTTCCTCTTCGAGATGCAGTGCTACATGGCAGCTATCAAGTGATCCAGATCTTCAGAATACTGCCTCATGCACGACTACCGCTCAAGATTTAATCGGGGGCAGTATATGATTGGCTGCGTAGACAACACCGATCCAGCCTGCATGATTGGGCGTGCTTAGATAAGCCACGGTAAGCTGACATTCTTCTACCGCCACCTGCCTCTTAGGAATTTCAGAGTTGAAGTTTTCCCATCGAACTTCATACTCTGCCTGCAGCCCACAAGCTACCCAACTTGAGCCATCGCGTGGCGATAAGAGCTACGGCACCCACACCCATTACGCCTGCCGCGCAGAACCACACACCCTTGAAGTTTTCTACCGCGCCATTCCCCTCGCCCTTGAGTGCGCCCATGGCAGGGTTACCGAGCAGCCCGCCGAAAGCAGCAACAAGATACGCCAATCCGAGACGTACGCCAATTGAGGCCTTGTTGGGAGAGAGATTCGTAATTGTGGGCCCAGGGATAATTATCACGCCGCCAGAAAGGAAGCCGTACACGATGCTGATAGCGATGAGACCGTTCAATTCCTGAGCGAGGGGTAGCATGCAAAGGGTGATGATGCAGGCGACGGTGAGAGGAAGTAGGGTGTTAACACCGCCGTACCTAAACTTGTGAGTACTGGGCTATTGCGAAGTTGAATGATGAGAACGTACCTGTCGGCGATGAAGTTTGGAACAAAACGCCCAAAGATATTGGCGGCGTTCATGATCGACAACAGGTTGAATGCCATATCCTTCGACACACCGAGCTTGATAGCGTACTCCTGGATGAAGAAGAACGGCACGAACGAGGACGCGACGAACAGCGTGAACGCGACGACGAAGATCGTGTATGGCAGATCTTTGAAGTGGTGAAAGCCGAAGCTGGAGCCCTTGGATCCGTACTGAAGCTGCAAGCGCATCACCACAAAAGCGACGGCGTTGGTCACTAATATGATGAGCGCAAAGATGCGAACAGCCCACGCGAACCCGACGCTGAGGAACAGCGAGCGCAAGGAAAGAGTGTAGGCGATACCAGCAACGCTAGCACCAGTCGATGCAAGACCAGTAGCCAGCATGCGTTTCTTCTCGAAGAACATGGCTAGCACAGCGACAGGCACGATCGCCATCAAACCGCTGCCAATGCCCATGCACACTCCCTGAGCGAAGAAGATGGCCCAATAGCTCTTGAAGAAAGAAGTCAGGATCAAACCCAGTACCTCGAGGCCCGTGCCAACAGCGATGATACTTTTGAGGTATCCCCGATCAAGCAGCGCACCGCCTGGCAAGCAACCGATAGTAGTGAAGAAAAGCTGAATCGATCCGATCCAGGCAATACGCGACGCGTCCTGCTCCGGCATCAAGGTGTCGACGTAGTATGTTTGGAAAACACCGAATGCATTCGGTAAGCCCCAACTGTTCGCGAACAGAATAAATCCACCAAGAACCTGCATCCACGCCACTTTGCCATGATCAACAGGGTAATCTTCATTAGCTTGCGCACTCGCTGTGATCTCGTGCGAAAGCAGCTGTTGTGTTCTTTCACGCTGCGTCTCGTGGTATGAGAGCAAACTCTCTCTTTCGGGATCCATGGTTTTTGTATGGGAATTTGTAGGGTATTTCGATAGTGATGATAGTGCCTAATAATTGGGCGCTGGTGTGTAAGCTGGCCGTGCCATGTAGCAACTGGATTTTCTCAGGGTCGATGCTGGATGGGGCGCTAGCGGGTAGCATGCCGCGGAGGATCGTCACTTTTAGTCATGAAACTGCAGGTACAGGTCCGAGCGGTGAAGGTAATCGCGCAAGCGAGGCACGATTTCGTTTGCTGCGAAGCGGGGAGCAAACAACACGAATCAGGAATAATGGAGATATCAAAGGATGTTTGTGCAGTATGCATGAGTAGTTCAATTGAGGACGCCCTGAGATGGTGATTTAGGTTACATTCGGCACTTGTAGCCACTCTGGTCACATCACAAACACCTTCGCCTTGTTCTCTTCACTTCCTTCGTCGTCACGAGGGTAACTCCCTATCCGATGCCAGACCACCTAAAAGAGATCCGACACTCTGAACAAAGCCTATCTACCTGAGTTCTTCCTGAGCAGGACCCTGTAAAACACCGACTATCCGCGCAGACTGTGAGAGTGTGCACACACATATCACCACGGTCAAGAGGCAGAGCGCACCACCGTAGGCCAGTCCGAATCCGGTAAGACGACGAGAGAATATGTCACGCCAGGTGACGACCTTGCCCGGCTTATATGACGAGTCGACCAACCATCTAGCATCTTCTAATCCGGCCCTGAATCGTTCCATGTCGGCCTTTGTGAGACTGATCATGATCTCGTACGGCTCGCCTTCTTGTCCTTCTTTGTCTTCTTCTCTGGGCAAGACCACGATGCCACCTTCGCTGACCCACGCCGCTCGCCGAATAGCAGTCGCATTTGACTTGCTCGTGCCTGGGATGCACCACTCCCTGTCAGCTCCCATCCTTTGCCAACTAGTGATGTATAGGTCTGGGCCTTTGGGAAACTTCAAAAGGGATTGCTGCGCTTCGGCAGGGTTGGTAAGGACGCTGTTGATCTGGGTGACTGCCCATTTCGCGTTGATGGCGTGCAGAGCATCTGTAATCTTGGCTGCGATGTCCTCAAGAGAGGCCGCAGCGCCATCAAGATCCAAGGTAGGCGTAGCGGACAACACCAGGTTGCCAAGATAATCCGGGGATGAGAAGGGCAGTGGAAGGAACTTTCTGAGATCTACAACGACGGCAAGGGTCGACTGCGTGTTACCCGAAGCCGTGATCGACTTTGAGCGAGCGCGTATGACATTTGCCCAGACGATAGCTGATAGTACGGTAAAGTTGGATACACGCTTCCCGATCTTAACAGATAGCTCGTTGCGGAGCTCTTCGATAGCTTGTGATGAGAAACGAAACATCTCGGCAACGACTTTATTGGGTCCTTCATCCGGTCCTTTGCGGAGCTCAAAGCGCTTCGCAAATGGCTTCTCAGGTGTATTAGTAGACTGGCCTGCTGCATCGGCTTCTTGGACCAGTGTTGCGAGCGCTTGACGCGCTGATGACGGGTCTGGTACCACGTTCCATTCCTTGACGATATCCTTCAATGGTTGGAGCTGATCCTTGTAGCTCGGTACGCGATAGTATCTAGCAGGCGGACGAACTGGCGGGAGTTTGTTCTTCTTAGAATTGAGAGCTCGTACAGCATCGGACCATATCTTTTGAATCCTTCCGTTGCCAGTGCCATCGACAACGGCATGATACCACCAGGCGCTCAGTATCAGACCTCCGGGGATGAAGGTAGCCTGGGCCGCAAAGGTTGGCAAAGGTCCTTTCGAAAAGCTTGTCATCCTTTCGGCATACGCATCCTCGCCCAATCCAGCGTGGTGTTTCAGTTCGTTTGGGCAGAAGATAGTAGCGGGCAACTCGTCTGGGAGGAAGGCGTCCTTCGCAAGCGAATCGTAGTCATGCTGTGCATCGTCGTAACTGACTGTGAATATACGGCGTGCCTCGGCTTCGAGATCGATGGGGTCGGGGTATTGCACACGGAGAAGGTCGGTAGAGGGGTCTAAGTCCACAGTGCCAGCGAGATATGGAAACTGTCTCAGAACTTCTTTGAAGCCATTGTGCAGCGCCTCTTTTGCTTCATGGGCGCGACTGATGTCCGGAAAGGGAAATATGATGTAGTAGCGACCATACACGCGTATGTGGGGCTGCTGATCGAGGTGAGATAACTCTAGCTCTTTTGGAGTGCCGGTTGGCATTGAGGGGGTAGTGGTCTGGAAAAGTTGACGAAAGTAGGCTTTCTTCGTGTTGGGCTGGACTCGGAGGCGAAGGCTTTTAGGGTCCGTTGTAGTGGAAGGTCGGTGGTCGAGGCGCAGGTAGCTGTGCGAGAATCTCCAAGGGCACTCCATGAAAACCTGCCGGCGAGTATAAATGCTTCGCGGTGCTGTGAAGTCGCACTCTGTAGAGGTGAAACAGGTGAATGCATTGCCTTGTGCGTTGTATTAGCTCTTCGATGTGACGGTACTGGTGAAGGCATCTCGGTGCGTTGGTAGTTGCAGACGGATGCTCTGATTGATATGCAATACATAACAAACAAAAAGCATGGAACCCAAATCTCCGAGCTTTGACGTCGTTCCGACCATGCACTGGCGATCCTATTGCACGGTGTGCCTGCCGACAGTAGAGCTATTGGGCACGGTGCGCGAACCGTTGTCCGAGTCGCGTGGCATGATATTCAGCGGTTGGCACAGATTAGCTTCATGCCGCATGTCGCTCGAGCCCGATCATAGCGGACTGATCAACCTGCCCGCCCAACACACCAGCCTTCTGCAGTATACCAACGGTCTTGTCGACAACCTCCTTGTCCACGCCCTTCACATCTTTGGCGAAGCGAACAGTCTTCAACCACTCTCGCGCGTCCTCTTCCGAGTAATCGAGCTTGGTGCTGATGTACTGGACGGCCTCTTCCTGGTTCGCCTCAAAGTGTTTGACTCCATTGTTGATTTTGTCCATGACGTCCTCGAGTTCCCCAGTAAGCACTGGCTTGCTGGCGTTGGGTGCCGAACTCCAGTTCTTCGGGTTCAATAGATGGTTTGCGGCGACGATCTTCCACGAGGACCAGGGTGTGTAGATCTCGCCGATGCGCTTGATCTCGCCGTTGTCGTAGTAGCGCTTCGACGTGAAGTGCTCCCACATAAAGAAGTCGGCCGTGCTGTCGTTGACTCCATCGCGGAGGTTCGCAAACGTGTTCAGCACCTCGACGGGGAATGGTGGGCTGTTGGGCGAAGTGTCGAGCCACCCTTGCTGGTCGGCAAGCACGAAGCTCATCACGTAGCTGCCACTTCCTATCCTGGACACGCCGACTTTCTTGCCTTTGAGGTCTTGTATTCCGTTGAGCTCATCTCTCTTGGCGCCTGTGGATATGGCCCAGCACAGCGGAGTCTCGACGTATGTCCCCACCACGCTGAAGCCAGCGTCCTGCTTAGCCGCCTGTGCTTTTCCCAGTGCCGCTATCCAGCCTTCGGTAAGGCCAACTCCGATATCGATTTCGTCGGCTTGCAGGGCCGTGACCATGTGTCCTGTGCCACTTGGGAACGGGAGGAGCTTCGCGTCCAGGCCGTAGTGCTTCTTCGCGAACTCGAGCGGTGTGGAGAAGTGTTCTATTTCCGTCAGCAGGCGATGCAACAGTATTGATGACGCGCCTACCTGGCACGAAGCCGATGCGCAGTGGTGCCATGGCTGCAATCTTGGTTGAAAAGCTTCGGACTGGTCGTGGGGTTGGTGAGACGCGTGCAAGTCGCAGTGTGCGTAGCATTGCTGGGTAGGAATTGGAGAAGAGGGGACGACTATGGCAATGAGGGGTGTAGCGGTCAAGGAGTGTGAGTTAATAAAGTTTGGTTAGGGCCGAATCATCAATTGACGACCGGTGGTTGTATGCGCAAGCTCATGTCACTGCGCGTCAGCCTCGCCAAGTTCCGATCGGAAGGCCATTCCGATCAGCTCCGATCCTCGCTTTCGACCATCTCGGCGTCATTCCACATCACCAACTTCTTCCTATGGTCTCCTTGCTGTTTACGAGATACCCTGTTCCTAGAATTTTTGTTGCGTCCTCGCGTACTTCGCTATCAATCCGTCGCTCCCGTCCTATCACCCCAATACAATCTGCGACGATGTCTTCCGATAACAATAGAACATCATTCAGAGCTAGGACCATCGCTATTGTAGGCGCTGGACCATCGGGTGTGGCGGCAGCAAAGTACCTCCGAGCAGAGAAGGCTTTTGATAAGATCGTGCTGTTTGAACAACGCAGTCGATCAGGAGGAATTTGGATATACACGGGTGAACAGCGGGACGAGAATCTCTTCGACATACCTCAGACCAATCCCAATAAAGACGTTCAAAAACCAGAGTGGCAGCCCAAAGATGCTGTAAAGAACGGCAATATTGATACGAATGGCATCAACGGAACTTCGAAAGTCCCCTCCTTTCTGTCGCCGATGTACGAAAAGCTCGAAACGAATATACCTAGAGGACTAATGGGCTTCCAAGACCTGGATTGGCCCGCGGATAGTCAACTCTTTCCTACTCATGAGACAGTACTAAAATACATCGACGATTACTCCGCTGATGTGCAAGACCTTGTTCGATACTGTACACAAGTCATCAATGTCAGTCCAGTAGACCCCGATGTCGCCAGCAGCCCATGGGAAGTGACTACGCGTAATCTACTTACGAACGAAGACATGTCCGAAACCCATGATGCAGTCATCGTGGCAAACGGCCACTTTATAGTTCCCTACATCCCACCTATGGCCAACATCAAAGAGTGGGCTGCACAGCACCCCGGTCGCATTAGCCATTCGAAGTATTACCGGAAGCCCGAGGACTTCACCGGAAAGAAGACGATAGTTGTGGGAAACTCAGCTTCTGGCGCGGATGTCAGCGCTCAGATCGCCGAGTCCTGTCAAAAGCCGCTCTTGTGGTCCACAAGATCGCAGTCTATGTTCAGCGCAACCCACGGAACGGCAGGTGAAGATCAAAAGAGACGAGAAGTTCCGCCCATCAAGCAGTTCCTCCCTAATAGCAGAGGCGTGATGTTCGAAGACGGAACAGAAGAACACGACATCGACGCCATAGTTTTTGCTACCGGATACTTCTACAGCCTGCCCTTCCTGCAAGACGTAGAACCTAAACTCATCACCACCGGCGAAAGAGTAAATCATGCATACCAGCATCTCTTTTACGCACCCCGGCCGACCCTGAGCTTCCTCGCCCTCAACCAACGCGTCATCCCCTTCCCAATAGCAGAAGCGCAATCTGCCGTCCTCGCACGCGTATATTCCGGCCGACTCTCACTCCCCTCCCACTCAGAAATGCGCGACTGGGAGCAAAGCATCGAGGAGGAAATGGGCGCTGGACGAAACTTCCATCTCTTACCTTTCCCCAAAGACGCAAACTACATCAACGCAATGAGTAAGTGGGCATTGAGCGCTGAGAGCAAGGATGGATTGGAAAATGACGGCAAGGGGAAGACTCCGCCAATCTGGGGTGAGTGGGAATACTGGTGTCGCGAGAACTTCCCAAAGATACGGCAGGCGTTTGGAAAGATGGGGGAGAAGAGGAGGGATATTAGAGATGTGAAGGAGCTAGGCTTTGACTTTGAAGAGTATCAGAGAGAGCAAGTACGACATAAAGACATGGACAAGAAAGGCGAGGAGCTAATATAACAAACAATACAGTAGCTATCGGCAATTTCAACGTCTCGTATCATTCAAAAAGCCTATACAGACTCTACCACACATCCACATTCCATCAGTTACATCTTGTCTTCTCCCCGCTTCCCAGGCAACCAACCCGCTTACACGGAAGCTCTTCTCGGCATCGAGATCGCAGAAGATGACACCCTCCGCCAAACAATCCCGCTCCTCTTCATTTCTCCAACGTTTTGCTCCCAAGGGCTCACGCTCATCCCCACTTTCTTCCCGTCAGCCCCTCTTAAAACATGCCTAAAACTACCCCCAACATCCGTCTCCCCCATAGTACACAAAACAACTCGAATCTTCTCCCCACCACCTATAAACCACGCAATAACCTCCCGCATAATCTCCTTAATGAATTGCGTTTGAAGCTGCTCAGTCTCTGGCGACTGGGTCGCTGACTCTGGAACGTCTGTATTAATAACGAGAGTATCCAAGTGGGGCAATGTGGCTACGGTAAGGAGGAAATGGTGGACTAGGACGACGACATGGCGCGTGTTGGTGGCGGAGATGTTGGTGTCGGTTAGGTAGAAGTGGGATTCTAGTTGTTTCAGGTCAGAGTGAGGGTTGGGGACGTAGAAGTAGATGTCTAGGGCTGCGTAAGCGTCTAGTAGATCTACGAGGTCTTTGCGGTTCATTGATACGCCCTGTAATTTGTGGACTTCGTGGGCTCCGCGCTTCGTGATTATGTGACCGAATGGGTATTCAGCTAGCAGATCCGAGAGATCGTCTTGATGCGTTGATGGATCCGAAACTTCGGAATTCTCTTGTGTCTGCTTGGATGGGACAGACATGTTTGGCGAGTTTGGGTGGATTGGTACTGATTTTATGGAGGTGGAGGTTCGCGTCAGCCGGGAAGTTTGGCAGAAGAAAGAGTCAGAGTTAAATAAGCTCGAGGGCGCGGGTGAATGGGCATGTTTCAGTGAGAAGTTTACGATCAGCATATCTAAACAGTGCTATGGTAATGTCTCATCAACAATGAAATGACCTCTAGGGGCCTACATTATCCAGCGTTTTCTCTCAGGCCATGTCCACGGGCAGCACGCCAACCTAGGGAAAAACTGAATAGCCTAGAGCCTACGTTGACGTTAGGTTATCTACTTTGCAAGGCTTTAGGTTGACGTAGTCTGCAGACCTGTTCAGTTCTTTTCTTGCATAAGGTGGGCAGCTCAAAGTATCCACCACGAGACGCGCCTCACTCCTTGAGCATCAACGGAAGCCTTTGTTCTAAACCACCCAACGTTCCCGAAATTATTACCAGGAAAAAGCAGGAAATCTGTCCACACATTTCCCACATCCATTCCATCATCCCACGATACGATGACTTCGCTAAAACCCCTCGTCCTGCTTACCTGACTCACGTCCATGAACTTGGCAACGACCTCGTGCCCTAGCAAAAACATTAACAAGTCCGGCGTCTGAAACCTGTTGGCAGCGGTTGAGTAGGTTCTTGAAGGATGTTCAGGCACTAGACGAAGACTCAGTGTCCGCGTATGAAGCAATGTACGCCGCCCGATGACTTCTCGTGCGAATGTCCCGAGCAGCTCGGGCAGGTTGGTAATGTTCGCCACGCTCATCTCGACTTCTATCTTCAGGCACTTTGCTTGGTCAAAGGTCTGTGGGCTCCTGACTGTGAAGTCCAGTTGCGGGTAGCGGGTAGTGAGCTCTTGAGATAGGCGGGCGGCGTCTCTTTGTGCCTGGAACTCGAATTCGGCTTGGTATTGTTCTGCGATGGTTTCGTTGATGGTGAGGATATTCGTGAGGGCTTGAGGCGATAGTGAGGAGTAGTCGGAGTGCATGTAAGCTCGGAAGATTTGTCTGCGCAGTTCAAGTGGGAGGCGCTCATTGAAGAGAGCGGGATCCAGTGTTGGTGTGGTCATGACTGTAGTATTGTCTTCTGCTTGAGTGTTGTCTTGCGGATGTTGGTGAGGACTGGTGAGGAGAATCAGGAGCATAATATAGGAGGAAGGCACAAACAGAATGGGCTATGAGTGTTGTCTTGACCACTCTGGAACTACCTCAACCTAGGGAAAACCTGGACAGGTCTGGAGCCTACATCGACGTTAGGCCACCTAATTTGCAGGTTTTCTTCTTGATGTAGCCTCTAGGGTGTTCAGTTTTTCCCTTGTATGAGGTGGAACGACAAACCAACGTTGTAGAATGACCTAGCGCGAGACAAATCGTCGGGTCAAACATGACCAAGGCAGTAGTTTGCACATAGGTAGACAGTTAGAGAATGAAGCAGGTGGAAGTAGTGACATACAACGTGTACCTCAACACGAGAACCCCCAGATATGATATCAAACCCGAACGCCGCGGCTATGCATCAAAAAGCGCAAACTGATATCCTCTTAGCTGTGACACTACCTCCGTCCCTTGCCTTGCCCACCTCCACCACCTCCACCCATACCTGGCATGCCGCCCATACCACCCATCATTTTCATCAAGGCGCCCATATCAGGCATACCTCCCCCTCCCATGCCACCGAGCGCGGATAGATCGGGCATGCCGCCGCCACCGCCTCCTCCACCCATCATCTTCATCATCGCGCCAATATCTGGCATGCCGCCGCCTGCACCACCTGCGCCACCGCCCATACTTTGCATGCGCTTCTGCATAGCCGCGAGTTGCTGCTGCTTGTTGCCTCCGCCCATCGCACCCTGTGCTTTCTGCATGTTCGCCATTCCACCCTTCATCTTCTTCGCCATACCAGCCATCATGCGGTGCTGGGTAAGCAGTTCCTCCACTTCGCGAACCGATGTACCAGAGCCGCGGGCGATACGTGTCATACGTGTGGGTTGATCGACAAACATCTTTCCGTCCGACTCCAGCTCTTTCTCAGTCATACTGTCACAGATGTAGATCATGCGCTTCAGCTTTGTGCCGCCTTCTTCGTCGTCCATGCCGCCCATCATGCTGCTGAGTCCAGGAATCATGCCCGCCATCTTCGACAACGGCCCCATCTTCATGATGTTGGAGAGTTGATCCCGCAGATCCTTGATTGTGAAAATACCCTGGGTGATGTGCTTCATTGTGTCCTTTTGGTCGAGCTTGAGTGATTGTACGTGTTCGACGAGCCCTTGGACGTCTCCCATGCCGAGCAGCTTCGAGACGAAAGCTTGTGGCGCGAAACGCTCGAGGTCCAGCATGTGTTCTCCGTTACCGAGGAAGACGATAGGTGTATGTGTTGCTGCGACGGCGGAAATGGCACCACCTCCTGCTGCCGCACCGTCCGTCTTGGTGATGACAATGGCTCCGAAATCTGCGGCCTCCTTGAAAGCGCGTGCTTGCGACTCCGCAGCCTGTCCGATTGTTCCGTCCAGGACCATGATGGTCTGGTCGGGTGTCACGGCGTTCTGAATTTGCACCATCTCGTCGAAGAGGTCCTTCTCTTGCCTGTGTCGTCCCGAGGTATCCACGATGATGATCTCGAAGCGCTCCTTCTTGAACTTCTCTACACCCTCGCCCGCCACCACTACAGGGTCGGTCTGTGTATGGCTACCGTAGTATGGGATCTTGGCTTTGGTCGCGTTCTGCTTCAATTGGTCGAAGGCACCGGCACGGAAAGTATCGGCGCACACCAGGCAGGCCTTGAAGCCTCTTGCCTGATACCATCTCGCCAGCTTTGTACACGTCGTCGTTTTACCCGCACCCTGGAGACCGACAAACATGATGACGTTGGACTTGCCCTTCTTAGGTTTGAAGGGCTCGGCATGGGGGTCGACCATCTTGACGAGTTCATCGAAGACGGCCTTCTGGATGAGGCGCTTCTTGTTCACGCCCGGCGCAAGGTGCTTGAAGTCGACGGCCTTCTTTATCGATTGGCGCAGGTTCATGACGAGTTTGACGTTGACATCGGCTTCGACGAGGGCGTTGGAGATCTCCTTGACCATGGCTTCGAAGGCCTGCGCATGTTAGCCACCTATCATCAGTCGCCTGCTCGGGGCGCGCACCTTCTCGTCGAGGTTGGGCGACCTCGTGAGGTCGGTGACGGCGGCATTGATGCGCCGCCCGAGATCTTGAAGCACCATAGCGGCGGTTGGTAGGGAGAGATGATGGTAGGGGTAGGGTTGTGGGTGTTCGGTGGTGTGCCTCTCGTGGTGTTCTGTGGGGAATCCACTATGGCGGGGCGCGCTTGCCGTCGGCCATTTGGGCTACTAACGCCGATCGCCTGGAACTTTTTTCTGCGACGCGATTTACCTGCAACATTCACATAACCCGACTTTCACAGCCACAATGGTCAACACATCACTGAAACGGAGACGGACCGAGGAGCAGTTGCGCGGAAAGGTGCCTAAGAAGGAGAAGAGAAAGGTCAAGAAGCAGAAGAACTACCACAGTTCGAGCGAAGAGGAAGGCGGCGCGCGCGATGCTCCATTGCGCGGAAGCAGCCAGGAGCCCGAGGAGCCATTCCAGCCGTCTGGCGTCAATGCGACGCTACCTGGAAACCAAGAGCTCTCGAAGCAGCAGCTGAGAAAACAGGCGAAGTTCGAGGCCAAGAAGGCGGCACAGCAAGCAGCAGCGGCAGAGGAGTCTTCAGCCAGCGACGACGAAGAGGAAATCGAAGCGGCGCCCGCGCAGAAACCTGAGCCCAAGTTCAAGGCCAGCATACCTGCACAGGCCCCGGCCAAGTCGGCACTCAAGAAGACTGCGCCCGTCGACCACGAAGCGCCATTGCCCAGCGACGCCGAAGACGATGTGGAAGAGTTGGACGACTCTGAACCTGAGGCGGATGAGTTCTCTATTGCCGACTCCGAATCAGATGCCTCCGAGACCTCAACCACGGCCGCGCGCAAAGTACGGAAACGGAACGACCCCGAAGCCTTCGCCAACTCCATCTCCAAGATTCTTGGTTCGAAGCTGACGACATCGAAACGCTCCGAGCCAATTCTTTCCCGCAGCAAAGACGCCGCCACCGCCAACCGCGAGCTCGCCGACTCGAAACTTAGCGAGAAGGCGCGACGACAGATCGTTGCTGAGCGGAAGGCGGCGCAAGAAAAGGGCCGCGTGAAGGACGTCCTGGGCCTGAACGACCCCAACGTCAGCACCGCTGCCACATCAGCGAAGGAGAAGGAGCTCAGGCGGACGGCACAGAAGGGTGTCATCAAGCTTTTCAACGCCGTACGAGCGGCGCAGGTCAAGGGTGAACAGGCCGAGAGGGAGAGCAAGGCGGGCATGGTCGTCGGTATGGACAAGAGGGAGGAGAAGGTCAAGGAGATGAGCAAGCAGGGTTTCCTCGACATGATCACCGGAGGACAGAAGAAGGAGGGTAGCGTGGAGGCCTGAGGACGATTCTATATGCACAACTCGGCGTTTGGGACAAAAGAGACATAGTTTGAATATGTTCATGATACCATATACTATACATAAGTTCAGAGTCGTACTCAACGCCAGTTCATCTGCAAGCGGAGTGTTCGTATAATACATGTCGTCTCGAATGCTGTATGCGATATGACCCATAATGCCTTCCAACAGATGTCGTGCAATATCTCCCCCAAGATGTCTTCGCCACGGATAAATCCCCTATCGATGTCACGACTCTTCTCCCAAGTCATTTCATTTGCTGTCGAAATCGCTAGCCTGCAGATTCCTCGTCATGCTCGGCAGTCGCACGACCAGTCCATCGAGCTCCTTGCTCATCTTGACCTGACACCCCAAGCGACTCGTCTCGGTAAGTCCAAACGCCAGATCCAACATGTCGTTCTCGTCATCATCCGGCTCCTCCATCTTGTCGTAGTAGGCTTCGTCTTCTACTATGACGTGACATGTTGAGCATGCGCAAGAGCCACCGCATGCGCCCTCCATTTCTATGTCGTTGGCTTGTGCGATGTCGAGGAGGTTGTCGCCGTCGGCTACTTCGAATGTGGAGGCATGGCCATCCTTGTCTACAAATGTGACTTTGCGTCTAGAAGGTGTCAGTGGTTGAAGTTGCTATGGTTTGGACATGTTTTGACGCACTCTTCACCCGGTCGAGGTGGGTCCAGGTGACCGTGGCGGGATGCGGGCGATGAGGAAAATTGGCGGCGACTCTGAAGCCATGACGGACTTGTTGCTTTGATAATGGTCGATTTTGATAGTGTAGACACTGCGGTTGTCTGTGTCTGAATCGATCTCCGACATGTCGCTGCCGTCCAATTGCTGGCGAACCTCCTCGGACTCGACGATGCGCCTCTTGCGCCCGCTATCCTCCCCTCCAAGGCGTTCACACAAGCTCTTCTAGCAGCCATGATGCCGAATTGATATTCGCTAGCCGGCCGAAATTGCGGTCTAATAGGAGAAGGAGACACGGAAGCGAAGGGGTTGCAGTGTTTGCCGTGTCACAACGAGTGAATGCGCCGATAATTCCGAATGCTGTGAGACGTCAGAAATGTTGACGCACAGGCCACGCATGACCCCGGTCGATCTACCCAGCGCATCCACCACCGCGGGTAAGAAAACGATAAACATCGCCAGCCTCACGTAATCTTTACCCCAAAAACGACAGATAGAATGGCGACCTCTCGCGATGCCCCGAACCCCCTACGACCCTACTACATCCCGCCCTCTATTGGCCCGCCGCCCGACGTCCCGCAGAACCAGACGTCCTCGTCATTACCGCCCGCTTTCAAGCCCAGCAACAGTAGCAAATCGAGTCTGGGCAGCCAGGCACGCGACATTCTTTCCGACCTAGACTATGACTCGTACTTTCCAGAGGCCTCTCCTACAGTAGCCGGGCATGCGAAGAAACTGCTTGATCATGCTCTGTGGAACTACACGAGCGTCCTGCTCGCCCAACCATTCGAGGTCGCGAAGACGATCTTGCAGATACACGAGGCAAAAGGACAGTTGGCAGGCTTGACGGGTGAGGAGTTCGGCCACAAGAGCAGACCACAGAGCTTTGCGAGCGGAAAGTTTGAGGATGTATGTATTGGGCACTGGAGGGGCTTTTGACATGTGAATGTGGGCTAATCGATGC